GCACGCCGTTATGCAGCAAGCAATAACAAGAAAGAAGAGGAACGCTTTGGCACGCAGTAAATAAAAAATACTGACCTGCTGCTACTTTCTCAACCTGTTAATTACTACTTCTGTCTTCACGTTGCGGCAATACAGTTGTGCTTAGCTTGCAGTCCTTGGAACAAGACCACGGCTGAGAATATTTCATCGATGTTGTTTTCTCACTACCTACAAAGTCAAGGCTTTGACCGAAGCACGTCTGCTGGGGAAGTTACATAAATTAAAAGAAGGGGATCTACAAAAACGGAGAGAGAGAGAGAGAACTAGAGAATGCGTTTCGGCTCCCCTGAGGAGAGCTTTGTTCGCAATTTAGTCCATGCTCCTGTCATTGTGAGCAAGGCTGCGTCAAGGTCACCAAAATATCCTTATTCTGCATTTTTCTTCATGGTCAGTGTCCTCTTCCTAATTTCCATGACGCACCCTTAAGGACACATGAAGAGGAACATTCGCTACAGTAATTAAATAAAACGAGCCTGCTAAAAATACATGACGTCAATGTTCGTTTTTAAGGGACCTGATGGCCAGCTGACGAGGTGGTTATGGCTAAACAACTATGCTGTTGTTGTTTTTTTTGCAGGTGGGGTGGACGTTTTATTTCCAGCTTTAGAGCTTCGATCCTACTTGGGACGGGGGGAGTGTTCTACGCATGGCTACACCAATGTGCGCAACATTACCTTGTTCAGGCAAATCAGTGTACTTTGTGAGTGTTCACTAATCACGCAATTGACACAGATGAAAGAAACAGGTACAGGAGAATTGGCCCTTGCTCAATTGAACAAGCATGGCTCCTATTGTATCTTTCATTTTATAGTAGTTTGCGTGCTTTATCGATGAAAACTGCGTTTCGGTCACATTGCTTTCTGCTTCGATTCGTTACTTGACTCGCAAGCAGCTAGTAGTGGGAGCCTTGCTGGTATCAAGATCGTTAACGTATACTACCAGTATAAGCAAAACCACCCGCAAATGTCGTGCATTTGTAGCCTTGTTGGCACGGGTGCTCAGATTGGGGTGCACGTTCAAGAACCACAGGTGGTCGAAATTTCCGGCGCCCTCCACTACAGCGTCTCTCATAATCGTATGGTGGTTTTGGGTTGGTAAACCCCACATATCAATCAATTATTTGTAGCCTTGTTCCTTACACCCCAAATATAAGGGTGTAAATGGGGTGTTTTGATGGTGTTTCAATTAGGAACACCTCAAATGTCAATAATGAGGCGTAAAAAGAGTGTTCATATGGGTGCTTTTAATGCATACACCAGTTTTACAGCGTTTAGGGTGTAAATTTTTTTAGAGTGTGTGTTTGTGCGCTCTACGCTTAGAGATTTCTAAAATGACTTTGTGCATTTATATGTTTTCGCTGTCAGATACCATTTAATCTGCGGTAATGAAGTATTGAGAATAATGTATATTTCGATTCATATTTTTCAAATAAACGGGGATTTACAAAAAACACACTCGATTATATGCAACGTGTGCGTTAAAGAAAACTATTAACCTTCAGGAATACGCTTGTGATTTATTTTCGACACCCTGAAGCCGCTCTTTTATGCATTCTTGATTGATTGATATGTGTGGTTTAACGTTCTAAAACCACCACGTGATTATGGTAGACGCCGTAGCGGAAGGCGCCGGAAATTCCGACCACGTGGGGTTCTTTAACTTGCACCTAAATCTGAGCACACGGGCCTACAACAATTCCGCCTCCATCGGAATCGCAGCCGCCACAGCCGGGATTCGATCTTGCGACCTGCGGGTCCGCAGCCGAGTACCTTAGACTCTATACCACCGCGGCGGGGTGCTTTTATGCATTCTCACACAGCCATCTGAGTTATTGCATTACATTCAACATCAACATATGTGATCAACATATGTACTGCTGCCTAGGGTTATTCCAATTGAAATATAAAAGGGTGTACACTTGAGGTTGTGGCATGGGTTCATCGTAAGTTGATGACTCGCTCCTCATCTGCGAGCCGTGCGAAATATAGGGCACCTTAAAGTGTCTTGTTCTAAAAGCGTGCAAGCTTTCTGAAAAGTTATACAGGACCTCCAATACTATCTGTCCCAATCTGCCCTTGCAATTTTTATAAGGCGGGCCTGCAAGCCGCCCAAGAATCGAAATATAACTAATCTTGGTACAACTAAATTCTGTTTAGGCCGTGACACAGCCTACTGTTGAAGAAGAATCAGCCGGCAACCTTCCGTTCCTTGACGTTTTCGTTAAAGGAGACGGTAGCCACCTGGCTTTCAGCGTTTACAGGAAATATGCACATGCCGGTCATTTCTTGAGCTTTGAATCTGTGCACCATTCCTGCTATAAACGTTCCGTTGTCTCTACACTCGTAAAGCGCACTCAGCGGAATTGCTCCGAGAAAGAAGGCGAACTAGAAAATGTGTAGACCGTTCGACGGTAGTAGGCTGCTTGTGGACAGCTGCCTTTCTACATGAACTCGGTGCAGTTACTTCTTCAGCACCCCGGCTCAATTGAACACCATTTCAACAAGAAAACGTGCATCGGTACCTTCAGTGAAACCCTCGCTCGTGTTTTCCACGGTTACAACGTCGAAGCGACTCACGCTTTGGCACGAAAGCTGAAAAGTCATATCACAAATGCCAATTACAGGCTGGAGAGACTCAATTTTCCCAGTGCAGTGTATAAAGTTCCTTGCAAAAACTCTGAATGCGTATATAATGGTGGGGCTTGTAATTGCAATACAAAAGAAGGCTCCAGCAACATTTTAGTGGCGTCAGAAACAATAAAGCACTTCTAATGCCCTTGCAGAGCATTTCACGTCTACTGGACACCACATCGACTGCGATAAAGCCTGCATCGTTGCCACGAAAGTTGTTTCCACGGTCGCACATGAAATCTTTGGACACTAGTACTACTGCGCGTACGCTGAAAAGAAATATCGGGAAAATCCCTCCTGTGAACCCGCAATGTCTGCAACACGTCATGACGCGCCCATAAGAAGACCACACTACGCCGTTTTGTTGTCATCGTGAAAAAGCTTCAACGTAGGGAGCTGAAATATTTTTTTTTATTTTAGGTGTTTCACTTTGGTCGGCATTCTTGTTATTTTGAATTTTGAGGTATCCCGCTTTTCGCCATAAAGAATGGTCTAGAGAAGTCATGTCAACATCAAATTGCGTCTAGCTACGCCAATCAAGTTCGCCAACAGTAGAAGGCATGCTTTTAGGACTCGTTCCTTTCCAGGTTGGCCGAAGCCATTTCAAAAAGCACCGTAAGAAGAAAAAAACCTCGTGCAGCAGATGACGGGGCAAAATGGGCAGCCATATTCCATCTGCGCCCTGTCTAACGCGATATCAAGAAGCCGGCAGTAGGTGCTTGCGTAAAAGTTGGTGTTTTCGGTGCCAGTGAAATCAATTATTGATTGGTTGATTGATATGTGGGGTTGAAGGCCCCAAAACAACAAAATAAATATGAGAGACACCTTAGTGGAAGGCTCCGGAAATTTCGAGCAGCTGGGGTTCCTTTAACGTGCACCCAAATCTGAGCACACGAGCCTACAGCATTTTCGCCTCCATTGGAATCAGTCATGAAACCAGGCAAGAAACTGAACGCCCCTTACCCAAATGATTCCATTTTCAAGAAGCAACAAAGCTATAATATTCGTTCCGTGCTAGAGTGAAACCATCTGCGAGATACCGACGTATTGTGATGGCCGCTACGTTGGACACGCGGGTCTCTGCGTGAAAGACCGGCTTCGGGAGCACAAGAAGAATTTCAAGGACAAGACGGGCAGGAATCTGGCAATTCACTGTGCCAACTGTGGATGCACTTCGAGTTTTGAACTGACGCGCTTTTTACATATTTATAGTTATCGTGATTTCTGTGCCTGGAAAATCTAGTAAGCGTTCATGTGTAAGCGCACCGCCCATCTAAGTAACTGACAAGAAGATTATTTATCTTCGTAATTCAACTTTGCAGTTTGATCTACTAGTCCTGGCGCATGCGCAGTGTTTTCCTTTGCTTCATTTCCTTTTTTATGCTCCCCTTTCTAAGGTGTACATATTTGCTCACACGAAATAGGCACTAATGTTTTTAGAGGCACGGTGGGATGTCTTTCTTGTCTCGTATGCCCACGTTGTTTTTTTACAATGAATTCAATAGAGATAGATAAGTGGTCTCTTATAACCTTTCGGAATAATAAACAAGTGACAATATTTCAGGAATTGAGCCTTACTTTTTGTCAGTTTCAATATGTATTTCACTATTGCATGGTCTGAAAGAATAATGCACATTTGTATTTGTCGCGAAAAATGAGAACGATTTGTCCAGGGTATACCTGCTTATTTACTCAATTTCCTAAAGTCCTTTTGGATACAAACAATTCAAGTGCTCACCTATTCATTAAATAATGCCCTTGCTACTTTTAACACTTTAACGAACATTTTCGTCATTCTCTGTTTCTAGTTCAGTTTTCCGATTCCGTTTGCGTTAGAGGTCTTGTTTTCAATTTTTAACCATGGGACCACACCTACATATTTACCCGCATGAACATTAAGCCCTAGTCATAACATGTCTTTTCTCATTAGTGTCGAAGCGACAACGCTTTTCACCAACAGCATCACATTACATAATTCACGGAAAGTGTGGAATGGACTTTTATTTTTCATGTGACATTAAAACTTCCAGGTTTAGCATCCCTTCAGCAGCACGTGCGGCGAACGTATTTTTTTTTCACTGCACTGCCTACGGATTAAAGCTCATTCAGTCACACTCGTTGCTAACCTGAAGACGTGTAAATTGTTCATTCAGAAAACTTGCTTATGAGCAATTCAGACTGACTTTGAATGCACCACAAAGAGTTGGATGAGGCCTAACTTTGAGCAACTCCGAATAAAAACTACCTTAAGTGAGTCATCAGGCAACAAAGTAAAACTGCAGCCAGTACCACCGAATGACAGGTGTTTTTTTCTTTCTTTTTTCATTTCAGGGACTTACTGGAGAGAAAGGTTCTAAAGGGCATGCTGGACCTCCAGGGCTTGTGGTACGTAGAACTCCAATATTTTAACAATAGTGTGCAAAATGAGTGGGCAATTTCTTTCGGGGAAATAAACCTATAATTGCAGATATTGGTCTGTCGTTCATTTATGGTGAAAGATGCTTACTAGTAATTGGATGCTCAATATCAAAATAAATTTTATTATATTTTGATTTAGGAGCCAAAGAGTATCGAAAAATGTGGCCTTATAATACATTATTTTTTTCAGAAAGCACCCGTTGTTATCCTCCACCTGCTTACATAGATTATCTTGCTCAAGTTACTGCATGTCACCGGCCTTTCACGTTACTTGAAATTAAGAAGAGTGCTTACTTAGGCTCGTTGGTGCAGACAGAAAATGAAGCTCGCAATTGTTATTGTTAGACTAGGTTGAAAAACTGCGTGTGGAACCGAATGGTGCTCGTGTCATTGCGAGTACCAACGTCAAACGATGCCAGGACAACCTTTCTTCATTCATACGGAAAGGCAAAAAGCCATTGGATCGAAAAACGAAGAGGCCTGTGTGACGTGCTGCTAGCAATTGAAAGTTACTCATAGGTGTACGAAGGTATATACTGATAGCACTCGAGCTGACGTTGCATGAGTGTGCACAAGACAAATGCCACAAGCACGTTTACGCCATCAGAGTAAGTGACATAAAGGTGTTCTGCCCTTGCGGCTATAGCATCACCGAAGCTCCGGTTATGCACTAAACACCCACCTTCGGAATACAGTAGGCTTCAACGACTTCTGGAGTAACCGAACTTTGCTTGAGAACAAAATGCGCGTTTCCTTAAGCGATGGCTGGCATGCAAAGGCTTCACAGTGTGAAGGTAGGTGCGATAGTTCTCAGTTCTCGAAAGAATTTCGTGCTCACGAGGGCGTATAAGACATCGCCCAGTTTGACCGATGCAATAGTGCTTACACCTTGTCGGTGTCTTACAAACCACAGCTTGAAGGCAGGAATCATACGTATTGAAATGTGGACAGCAACATGAAGATTCTGAGCATGGCTCATCAGTCATTCCTTTTACAGCTAGGCATGCACGCCAGAGCGTGTAAGGCCCACAAAAAACACGTGACCGTCGACGATTTTGTCAAACAGAGGCAGGTCCTGGGCATGTACGGTACAATAGAGACCATGCTCTTTGCTTTTTTTTGACCTTGCTATTGTGAGTAACGCACCTAGATTTCGCCTATCACATGAGTTTCTGGCCAACGTGATCCGACCCACACTTGAGGAGTGAGTTAGTCCACATGAAATCGGTAGGAAGGGGAAGATTGAAGCTTGCGCTGAAAAATATAAATAGGAGTTGTGTCCAGCCAACGATTCGACAAGCTGACTTGCCTTCGTCAACGATGAAACAGAACTGGAGTCAAGCCGCTACTCCAGATCAAGAACTTGCAAATACTAGATGTGAAGCAGCTCTTCGACTAGCCTGTGTGACGGTGTCCCTTGCACTCGTACGAGCACCGTCGCCGCAAGTGTTGAAGTGGTGCCAAATAGATAAGTTCTCCGCAGGGCGTCTGCGTAAGTAGGCGTTTGGTGTGTAGTGACACCAGGGACCCGAGCTAACGGGGGGGGTTTTCGACTCCCTCCCACGCCTAGCCGTGCGTGGCTTTGCCGTGTCCGGGAAAAAGGGGATACTGGGGGTTGAGCCGACGCCGGGTGATTGGACCTTCAAGGCCCCCCCGGCAGTGGCAACATACCCCTTTGGTTCCGGCTTCATGTAGACGGCTCCCCTGGGCTGACCCACCCAGGCGAAATCGGCAGTTGCCTTTTCCTGTATCTCTCTCCCTACATCTTCGTATTTGTCACTTTTTTATCTTTCCTGTCTACTTCTCCCTTCTGTTTCCTTCCTATATTCTCTGAGAAAGGGTTAACTTTGTGCTAATAGCCTATCTTGGCTTAGGCGAATGGGTTATTGCAGTGTTGTACGGCTGACGTCTGGAAGCTTTCAGCATCCGCGAACTTGCAGCGTCCTTTCGTTGGACTGTGTTGTGGGTGGCCGCCAACGCTGCTGAACAACATACAATTAGCATGCATAAAGCATTTCTTTTGCTTAGGGATCCTGCCTCCTTAAAGTGGGTACGCACCGAAGACATCAATTTTTTCAACTGGCCAAAACAAATCTTTCCTAATTTCCATGTTATACACAGCGAGAAAACTAATAAACAAGCCAGAACTCTATCCCCTTTTGTAGTGACTAGGTGCCTAACCGAAAGTCTCGGTGCCGGCTACAAGGTTACCAAAATGGTTAGCGGAGATTTACTTCTTGAGATACGAGAGAAAGACCAATTCGGAACTGAACTGTCTTACCCCTTTTGGCGACACACCAGTTAGTATTACACCACACAGGTGAATGAATTCGGCTCGCGGGGTAGTATCGGACGCAGATTTGCTTGACCTGATCGAAGCTGAACTTTTGGAAGAATGGAAGAGCCAGAGCGTGACCAACGTAAAACGTTTTAGTATAAGAACAGAAAAAAAACTAAACACCAACCAAGCACCTAATACTGACCTTCGCTTCGAGCGATCTGCCCGAAACCACTCAAACCAAGTATACAAAGACTACCGTGAGACCATATATTCCTAGCCCCCGCCGTTGCTTTCAATTTATGAGATATGGCCACGACTTGCAAAGCTGTCGTGGCCGGAAAACTTGTGCTCTGTGTGTAGTCGTGGGCCACGTGTTTGACAATTGCGAAGCACCGCCACACTGTGTGAACTGTGGCGTGAATCGTTCCGCATACTCACGCTCCTGTTCTTTTTGGGTAAAAAGTAAAAGATATCCTCACAATAAACGTTGAAGAAAACGTTACATTTAAAGAACCAAGAAGAAGAGTTTCGTCATTTTATGGCTCCACATATGCTGATGCGGCACGTCAGCAGGCAGCGTCGAACCAGCTCTCGCCACTCCTTCGGCCTGCGCAGTGCGAGGCATCGGCTGTGGCGCCTGCCTCCAAGATGGCAGTAGTTGAGTCCACTCCGCCTACTATTGAACACAGACCAAAGACTCCAGGGTCTTCGGGTCAGAAGGCTTCACCTCACCAGGCGTGGCCCAAACTTCGAACAACCAGCTCACATGTGCGGGTACGGCGCGGCTCTCTGGAGCGCGTCAAGAGAACTAAAAAGCTCATGACAGGGCATATGACAGCTCTGTTACTTGAATTCAAACACCCCAAGAAAACAGTCACTCTCTTTTATACACGCACAGCACTACTTTACTTTCACCATGAACACTAAAATTATATAATGGAACGTCCGGGGCCTTCTCGGGAGTCTTGACGACGTCCAAGAACATTTACACGAACACTCACCAAAATTGGTGTGCGTACAAGAAACACACCTAAATTCAAAACGCGCCGAATTCCTCCGTAAATGCGTTATTTTAGAAAGGACTGTGATAATGTCATGAAATCATCCGGAGGTGTTGCCATTATCGTGAATAAAGGGAGTGCATGTACACACTTACAACTCAAAACATCCCTTGAAGCAGTGGCTATTACAGCTGTGCATTTCGACAAACGGATCATAACTTGCACTCTTTGCGTACGTCCGAGCTATCCCCTACAAAAACACGACTTCCAGTCCTTAGTCAATGAACGTCTGGAACTTTTTGTTCTCCTTGGAGACTTGAATACGCATAGCAGGCTATGGGGCAACTCTCATTGTGACAACTGAGGTCAAATGATTGACGAGTTTCTTCTCTCTTCCTGCGCCTGTCTTCTGAACCGAAAAGAACCAACCTATTATAACCTCGGTAACAATACCTGTTCCTCCACATACCTAAGCATAGTATCTCCAGCGCTTGTGCCTCTACTTCACTGGAACATCATCACTAATTCCTACAGAAGTGACCATTTTCCTGTAATTTTAAGCACACCTATATTAACTAAATTCCCGCCTCAGGTTCCCAAATGGCTTTTAAGCAAAGCCGACTAGGAACAGTTTTACACCATCACCCATTTAGGCTGGTGCGACATATTCAATTTAAGCATTGATGCAGCTGTCAACTTCTTCACAACGTTTCTGATTGATGCAGCAACAAAATGCGTCCCACAAACGAATGGACACCCTGGAAAACGACGTGTGCCATGGTGGAGCTCTGAGTGCCTAAATGCGCGCAAGCAGCAAAACAAAGCTTGGAGGTCGCTTCGGAACTTACCGACAGCTGAAAAATCTTCACATCTTTAAGAAAATGAAGTCTCAGGCCATGAGAACGCGTCGGCAGGCCAAAAGTGAAAGCTGGAAGTAGATTTTATTTGGGATCAATTCATATACACACGAGGCAAAAGTCTGGAACATGGTTGGTAAAGTAGAAGGAAGACAAGCACACACACTCCCACTTGTAAACAAACAGGGTGACACCTTGGAAACTCAGGTGAACTTCCTCGGTGCACACTTCGAGTGGGTGTCCAGCTCCTCGCACTATACTGACGCTTTCTAAAAATATAGAAAGAAAAACGAAAAAAAACAAACTCGAACACTAATGTACGACATACAAGGCGTACAACCAAGCTTTCAGCTTAGCTGAGCTCCAAACATCACTGAACTCCTGCAGCGATTCCGCTCCAGGTGCTAACCGTGTGGTTTATGAAATGTTGAAAAAGCTAACCATAGAAATGCAAAAACATCACTTCGCTTGTACAATGCTATCTGGTTGTCTGGCGCTCTCCCTACTTCTTTGAAAGAGGCTATTGTTATTCTCATTTTGAAACAAGGCAAGGACCCTTCTTCAGTTTCGAGTTACAGGCCTATTGCGCGTACAAGCCGCTTATGCAAACTTCTCGAAAAAATGATAAACTTCCAACTTGTACATTTCCTTGAAACGAACAATTTGCTCGACCCATTTCAGTGCGGGTTTCGAGAGACTAGATCCACCACGGACCACCTTGTTCGTATCGAGGCACAGATCAGAAACGCTTTCGTTCATAAGAAATGCTTTTTCTCTGTGTTCCTCGATATCGAAAAGGCATATAATACAGCATGGCGCTTTGGAATA